GAGTGACAAAAATGTGGGATAGACCTGAAAAACAAAAAAATTTTTTCTATGCTAATAAGTCTGTGTAATCTAAGTAATGCAGTAAGTAAATATACCTAATGAAATTTCTTTTATAAGCTAAAAGCAAGTGGCCAAAAAAAAAAGGCAGTAGTAATTTTTTATGTTTTCTTTTAAATTTATTGCCTTTTAAGTCCATATTGTTATTCTCAAAATAGTCACTTCTTTAGTCAAAAAAGAATATAGTTTATAATATGCATAATTACATGCTGCTAAAATTGGCACTATGTATGAGAAAATGTAAGGTATGTGATATATGGAGACTTCAGCTAATGCCCCAAATAGACAATTACAAGTCTCACACTACTTTGACTCTCTGCTTCTTGGATTTTGATAAAATGACTACAGTCCAGCCTCAGAACAGTGATGTAAAATAAATGCCCCACACAACAGTTGGCTATGAAATGAGTATTAGTTCTACCCGCTAAACTAGAGTTATGAAGGAATGCCTTTCTCTTATAAAGGTTTGCATTGAAAAGGAAGCATTTCACAATCTTGAACACTCCCCAGATCTGGAACTCTGATTTTGTTCAGACCATAGTTTAATGCCTCTATACAATTATTTCAGTTTTATTAAAGTAATAATTATAGATATTCATATTAAAATGGGACTTGCAAATTATTTTCCAGAGGAGGAAAATGTCATAATTAAAACACAATGATTTGAAAAACAAAATATGCTCAAACTGGCTGTTGATGGTAGTTTTGATTTACTATGTTACTAATCAGTGGAATTTCTTTTATAGATTTCATGAAAAATAAAAATGCTGCTAAAACTTTCAGTAGAAACTAACTTAATATTTTAAACAAACATTCCAACTAGGTTATTAGGTAACATGTATTAATTACTTGCTACGTTTGAGCTCCTAATACCAATTTCTAGGATTGCTATAATTTCAGAAACTTGGCTACATCTTTTCCAGGTATGTTTTACTTGTTTTAAATTTTCAGCTTCTGATTCCACCCCCGCTCCCTGCCCCCCTGCCAAATTTAAAGAGGTGACATATATTTGCTAATACTGTTATTCTACTGTCTCCATCAAAATACTGCAATTAGTTTCCTCTGTCAAATTGCTTAAATGGCACAAGTATTTTAAAGTGCATTATTGGATCTTAAGGCTATATTTATACTAAGCAGTAACACAAAACAATAAAGTTGACCACAGGAAAGATTACTTTTAATAGTTGGGATAGATTTCAGCCACAAATATGAACGGTTAAGCATACAATCCAATGGGAAGACTCACATTAAGGCATATATGCAGCCTGCATATAAAATTCAAATATAAAAAGGCATTTGCCATGAATTTTTATTTTGGTACTTAATGAAGTATACCAATGGATATTATTTAGGCCACTAACTTTTTATAATTATGAATTTAACAGAGCTCATAAAAGTCTAGTGTTAAAAACAACTGCATTGTTTAACAAGGGAGAAAGCAGATCCATTTGGTGGCACGTGTACTCAGTTTGACAAAGGTCTGGAAGGAATGCTAGTGCTTTGCATGTGCCTGAGTGAGTTTTTAACCCACTCCTTTCTCTCCTCCTCTTTTCTAGTGTAGAGGAGCTGGTTAGAATCTCAAAGGAGTGTAGAAAAATGAGGTTGCATTGTTTGGGGACTGGAAGAGTATTTTGTAGATCCTTTAGGAGATCCATGGGCCATGTATTTGGGTGATAGGATTGAAAGATAAAGACTACCTGTGGCCTTGGGACTCAAGATGGTGGGTGACACAAGACAGGGAATTTCCTGACAGGCAACACTGAATCCTGATATCACAGCAAGGAAAGTACAATTAAAGATACCAGGTTGTAACCCGACCAGTGTTTAATTTATCTTTGATTGTTTTCCAGTCTGTTCTACCTTTAGGATACAATAGCACTTATCAGAAAATCAAGGTGGTGGCAACAGAATGTTGTTTGTGCCAAAAGGTTTGACCCCTCTTTTCTTAACTTCACATACAGAAGTTCTTAGGGAAATGCTGGGATTCATTGTAAAATAAAGGTTTCATGTTATTCCAAGTTTATGAGCATCCCAACAAACCACCAAACCTCAAATACAGTCAAAATTATTTTCCTGTGGAGAATGTGGTCATTCATAATTACCAACATGTTGCTTCCTACTTTTCACAATGGCATAATTAAGTTCCTCTGTGGAGCAACATGCATGAACATGGATAGTGTTTTAAAAAACGTGACAAACAGGATCACTTTGGCTATTTCATTTAAATCCCTCAAGTTTTAAAACTAGGCAATCCAAATGTCAATCTTTCTTACATTATCTTATAGACATCTCATTGCATTTTATTTTTATTGGAATAAGATGAATTTTTTTTTGTAAGTGTTGGCAAGATAATTATTTGGCTAATCAAGCATGGGGGGGGGAAATTATCCTGCAAAAGATGCTTTTCTTTAAAAATTATGCACTTTTACACAAGTCTTTCTCCAAGAAAAGGGCCTTAAATATATTATCTCTATGACCTCATTCATTGAAAGTGCATTAAAATTTTATTCTAATATAAAAACCGAATTTAAAAACTTATGAAAACGTTCACACAGTGACAAAAATATATGTAAAGGATCTTCACTAATGCTTTTTAATAGAGAAGTGAAAACAATCTTGATGTTCATTCAATAGGAGACTGATTAAATAAAGTATAGCCCCACAATGGAATATGTAGTAATTGACAAAAGAATGAGGTACATCTATTTAAACTCTTATGGAAAGATGTCTACCAATTTATAGTAAAATGAAAAATAGTCACAGGACAGTAAGCATATTATTATTCTATTTATACAAAATGAATACACACACAGATACACACACACACACGCATACTTATTTGTATATTTATAGATAGTATCTGGAAAGACACATACCAAATCATTAACAGTGGTTACCCCTAGAAAATAAGGGGTGGGGAAAAGCAGAGGAAGTTGTATTTTATAATTCAATATAGTTTGATTTTTTTAAAGGAGCATATATTAAATTTACAATGAAAACATACCAAAAAATGACAAGCCTTGGATAAAAAGATATTCATCTTACATGCATGCTGCTTTTGTTAAAGTCGGTTTTAGAATTTACCCCAAAAGGTGCGATTGTTTTACCTTCAAGTTAGCACTAACATATAAATAATCTTTTATTTTTCTTCTCCCTTTTTAAGATCTTAATGATACTTAGCAAAAAAATTCACAAATAACTATTTTAAGTCACTAGCAGGGAAAGGCCTGATATATACCAACTTTGAAAGCGAAAAATGCATATGTTAATTTTTTTTAATCTATGCAATAGAAAAATGAAAATCCTGTGCAGCACTGTGCACACTATCGCGAGTGCTGATGAAAGAACCTTCACTAATAACAAACGCTGCTCTTTAAGTGGAAAATTGGAACATTTCCAAATAATATAAAAATATCTCCAAAAGATAAATTATTCAAAGAAAGGAATAAAAATCCCTGAGTAGGCCAAAGACAACAGATACAATAACCTAAGAAAATAGATTATCCAGGACCAGAGAGTATATTATTTAGCTAGATGGTATATATGTATTCATATACAGCTATGTATATGTCTAAGTATATATACATACACATATCATACATAAACACATCCACTAGATTTAGAATTAATCATATTCACACATCGTCAAACTAACACCCAAGCCTAGGAAAGGACAATTTACAAAAATTAAGCACTTTTATAAAAGAATTACATGGATTTAGGGCTAGAAATTCCCATTCTCTCAGTTTTAATACTAGAGCAAGTAGAATAGGCACTCAATAAATATTTGTTGGATGGATAGATGGTTGGATGAATGGAAAGATGAATTTGTGAAACTAGATTCTTCTTGTATCATGTTATGCTTTAGAAATATGCTATTCCAGGCCATAAATGGCACACCCTCCTCTAACTGGAAATAGACTAGTCCAGCAGTATAGCTTTTCTGAGCGTTACTCAGAAAGAATGGAAGTGCTGGCTTGTTATCCATGAAAGCAAACTTCACTATTACAGACTTTCCAGATCAAATAAGAATGATAAATGTTCTTATACTCTGGAGCCCAACAAGACAAACTATCCATGTTAATGCATGTTTTATCACATAATCTATTTCAATTCAGAAAAGGTTGTTGAAGAACAAATGCTACATCTACGCCAATAGCTAATGTTAAGGATCTGGAGACAAGTGGAAACTTTAAGCTTCTTAGAGGTCTTTAATTCCCTTCTGCTGATGAACATTCGTGATGAAAACAAAAAAAAAAACACAGTTTAGTCACTTGTCCTTTTCTTATTTTAAAAGATTTCTCAGCTTGGTAAAACATCCTGAAAATATTTTTTTCATTTTTTTTTGTTTCCCTCTCCAAAAGCAGTTTATATTTTAGATAAACCCATGAACACAAAAAGTTTTGTTTTAAATCACCCCTCCATAAGAAGATACCAACACATTACTATGCATTTGAGCAATAAACATAAGAAAAATACTTCAAAAACAGTATTTGTTTTTATGAAAAACTTGAGGAGTAAAGGAGAGAGAGAGAGGGAAAGGAGAGGTGAGAGGGTAGGGTTTTAAACAATATCATATGCTTAACCTAAAGCATAATTATTGTAATCACAAGTTGGTTAAAAATTAGCAGAATAGGGATATGTTTAAAGGCCTCAGCAGTTCTCTCTACAGCACACTTATTTAAATTAATTATAGAGTGAAGCAAGTATGCCAACATATAAGAAATTTGAAAAAGAAGACAGAACATTCAGGTCTTGAGAATTTCCTAAAAGCAGCCTATTAGTTTTATCGGTTTATAAAGTTTGACAATCCTTGAGGTGACACTGCACAAATTTCTGTGTGTGTGTGTGTGTGTGTGTGTGTGTGTGTGTGTGTGAGAGAGAGAGAGAGAGAGAGAGAGAGAGAGAGAAAGAAATAGAAATGGTCAACATCAAAATAGCCTGTTGTGTACGTTGACTTTAATTCAGTACTTTACCAAATTATGCCCACAACGGAACAATCATTTTTAAATATGTCTATGAAAATGTGGAAAAATAGTGTAGGCATGGAACTTGACAAGTACAAGGTATTGGACCTAGTTTTAATACAGATATGTATATACACACACATTCACACTCCTACACATATACACTTCAGTAACTATGATTCTTCTCATTCGTTTAGTTTCATTAGTTCCCTTTTGGGCATTGAGATTTTTAACAATTATAGCATCTGAAGGATGAAGGAATTATACTGCTTGGGTCACGGATGAAAATTGGTGCATATGGTGAGCCTTCATCTTCTGAAAAGTGGCCTTGCTTGTTGGTACAGGTAGGACCTTCAGTTATTCACACCAAGTCTCAGAAGAGGGCATGGAGGGAGATTCAGGTACAAAGACAGTCCAAGCAATGCTCAGGAGATGCATGCTCAGACAGTTCTGAGGATAACTGGTTCTAATTAAAATACTTTCTTCCAAGAACCATTAAGAAGATCAGAGTTATGATATAGATGTTAATAGTCTATGAAAGTGACCATTTTGTAAAAGCAGCAATCTGTATAAGGAAAGGACAGGATACCATGTCGGGAATGCACCGGAGCTAGAGGCATTGTGGCCTGCACAGAACACAGGAGAAGAGATGGCAAAAGGGTCCTCTTGGCAGTTTTCAAGAAGTAACCCTCAGACAGGTGTATAATTCTGTGTAGCTCCTACCCCGACCAGCGTAGTCAGATGAAATCATCTGCATTTACCAGTGCATTCCTGTCCGTGATCGTTTTCTCTGTTTTTTACAAAGGCAATAGATAGGAAATACAAATAAACCTGGGAATTAAAAAAAAAAAAAAAAGATTAAAGCTAATTAAGAGGACAGGCTTTTAGTATCATAGATTTAAAAATTTTCTATTTTCAAATTTTTATTTTGCAAGCTATTTATAAATAATCATTATTTAGTAATACATGAAAATGAAAAGAGGGAAGATACCTATGCTATGAAATGTACTTAGTTCTTCAAGATTTCATTCTTTATTATTTTTCTTCAGCTCCTTCTCCCCCTTTTAATAACGTCTGTGACACCAGTTTGGATATGAATGTTTTTTATCAAAATATCAAAACTTAAGTCTTCTTTATTATCCCTAGTCATATCACTTGCACACTGATATTCATGCTTCGGTTTCAGGCCATATAGCATGTTACTTAAGAAAATGGGCAGTGGAGCAAATGTCAGCTTTGATTCCCAGTTCTACCACTTGTGAGGTCCTAGTAAAGCCTTAATTTCCTCAACCGTAAAATGCAGATAATAATAGTATCTACTTCATAAAGCCTCATTCATTTTAAGAACTTAAATGTTAGTTACGTTATAATTCTGTCCGTCCTGCACACGCAAATTACTTGCTAAACAGAACTTTACATATAAAAATCAATTTATCTAGGAAAAAAGAGAAATCCCATCTACTATGTGGAACAATCATCAAAGCAGCCTTTAGCTCTAGTGTTTAATTTTAAATCCTCTACAGCAATGGTTCTCAAAGTGTGATCCTTGGACCGTCCGCATCAGCATCACCTAACCTTTTAGAACTAGGCCCCTACACTGAATCAGAAACTGTGAGTAGGAACCAGGAACCTGTTTTTTAACCAGCCCTCAAAGTTCTTATAAAGCACTCCAGAGTCTGAGAACCATTGCTCGAAAATACATATTTTAATATACTTGTATGAATAAATCTATATTTATCACTGATACATTTTCTATTTGTTAGTGCTCAAGTATATGCTGGGTACGTGTTCCTATACACATCAAAAGCATCTTTTTGACCCAGGGAACCCTTTTACTAGAACTAACCGAAGACCCAAAGGTGTAACAGAGCCTCTTTTCTTCAATGTTCCAACGTGAACTCAAAATTGGAAAATCTGGGTTCTCGTCTACTGGAATCTTTTGCTAAAATACTAGTTACATTAACTTTTGCATTAAAAGGGGATTAATAATGCTTTATAAGAAACATGAATCGAAGTGTTCATGGACTGAGAAAGTGTCACACAAATACACCCTGTACGAAACACGCTCCTCTGAATCTATAAATCATGTGCTGATTGCTTATTTCGAGCAAGCATGGAACAGGTACCATCTACACTTAATACTGACTCACTATTACATTTACACTCATATTCTCTCTGTGGCACTCAGAGAATTCTCATCTCAGATACATTAAGTATTTCTTACCGATTACAACTGCTATGGCCCCTAGTGCTAATCCCAAGACCAGAATTAGAGGTGCAATGAATAATTTTCCAGCTGGAAAACAAAAGGCAAACCATTTAGAGAGTCTTAAACTAAAACTAAAAACAATTTCAGCAATGCTTTTTAATATCACAATGTATGTTATTTTTTAAGGAGTCATTAAAATTAAGGCAATATTTCTCTAAGGAAATGTATCAGGTGTAGAACAAATACACATATGTAAGTTCAGTAACTTCACTCAAGTCCTGGGCACACATGTCATACATCGCATAAATCATCCTTTACAAGCAAGAAAATTCCAAAGCTACTGGTTCACTTTATTCCACCAGGACCATTCATCTTTGTGTTTTTCCTTTAGATCTCTTCCATTTTAAATTTTTTAAATTCTGAAAGATTAAGAAAGGAGTGACATTCTGAGCTGGAAGGAGAAAATCTAATTAGCTCACAAAATGGAGAGCTAGTAGGTGCTACAGAGGGCTGTGCCCAAGTCCAGATCTGAAAATGTGATTTATTTATTTCCTGGGTCCAAAATAAACTAACTATATGAACACCTAATACACTGAATTACAAATGGGATGTTTCAATACCATTGTTAGAAAAAATTACCAATAAACATACAATATATTGAAGGTTTTTCAAATGAATCATTTTAACAAACTTAGAAAGGAAGCACTTATAAGGATGCCAAATGGCATCATCCGGCACTTTTTTTTCTAAATGAATAACTGAGCAGTGATTACAATAAACTCTAGTTATAGCACAGAGTTCACAACTGGAATCCTACTAGCGTTAAAAGGCACTAGCACAAAAATAGAGGCTAGTAGTTAATATCTTGTCATTACATAGTAATCTTGATCTTAAGACATGTGACAGCAATAGCTGTACAACCCAAACACAACAAGAGAAGAGGAAGGAATGGAGGGACTTTGCAGTAGACTCCCTTAGCTGTTGAAAATAAAGCAGCAACACCATTCTATAAATAAGGACAGTAATTTGGAATAACCAATTACATTAAAAAACAGAAACATAATGCAGCCATTTGTTGGAAATCTGTCAGAAAAATATTAACTTCTTTATTCTTAAGAAAGGGGCTTTGGAATCACAGAAAAAACATAGACTAAAAAATACAGTTTTTAATATCTAATTTTGAAAAAACTGCCATTCAATTGACACAATGTCTAACCATGGGGTTTACTTACATTTTTCACCAATGACAGAATCAATCAAGTAATACTAAATCGCACTGAACAATTACATTTTGTACATTCTTAAAGCTACACTTGAGTTTATACTATATTGATTTGCATATTGTAAAAGAATCTGGTTTTTTTCCTACACATGTAGCTCAGTGTGCTCATTCATGTTTCCTTTTTAAGTAATTATCAATATATTTTCATAATAGTGATGAAACGTGACTGCAAAGTAACAGCACTATTTTTTTTTTTTCAAATATCACAGAACTCAAATAACCAGATATGTGCTCTCTCTCTTTGGGAAGTAATAAACTTATTACAATCATGCAATCAATGCTCAGTACACGTTAAGTCTACCTTTGAAACTGTCTTGAGGACAGTTAAGCACAGATTCTCTAATTCCCAGATCAATAATAATTCTTTTAAAATACCATTCTCAATAGCTGAAATAGTATTCTATTATATCCATATATTCTAGCTTATTTAAATATTTTAGCACTTATTTTTTGTTCCCTTTTCTGCTATTTTAAATTATACTTGCAAATAAACCATTGTCAACCTAGATGTTTTATCATGTTTTAAAATATCCTTCACATTACTATCAAATTTCTTTGTAAAAGAATGGCACAAAATTTCCAGTTCATTCAATAGAGTACGGATGTCCAGCATAGAGTATTAACTTGACAAAATATTTGCTAATCAATATCCAGAAAAAAATTTCATTTTTTACATTTCTCTGACTACTAATAACACTGAATCGTTTAAAACATGTTTATTGGCTATCTGTATTTCTTCAATTCTGGTTCCAGACTTCTTTTCTTTTTGAAAAATGTGATATTTATTTTTGGAGGGGGGGCTCCATTGCTTTTGTTCATATAAATTATTTTCCAACTAGAAATCAGTTAAGGACCTGTATGTTCTTTATTATTATATGTTTTAATGTAATATTTTCAATATTTGTATGGAATTATATGAGGACAAAGCATTCTTTCTGTCACTTTTATTCCCAACACCATTCACTGAATAACCTACCTACTCCCTACCAGGGAGATACCTGCATGTCAGAGGCTGCTAATTACCCTCAAATCGCTGTTCTCCCTTATTCTCTACAGACAGAACCTCTGATCTGTGGCTGGGCAGATGGTCACACGACCATCCTTGTTTTCCAACCTCCAGCTGTGAGAGGAGGGCAGGCCCTTTCTCTGTCTCTGTCCAAGGACATCTGCAGGCTGTGGTCCCAAACTGAGGAGCAAACTGGGTTCCAACATGCAAGGATGGAGGGCAGGAGGGCTTTGCTGTCATCCATCTACTCTCTTCCATGGCAGGGAGAAGGTAAGCTTGGGACTTACAGAGTAACTCCTTTTCCTGCCTTTTGTAGGGATGAGATGTTTGAAATTAAATTGCTCTTTTTATTTAAAAACATCGCTTATAAAATCATTCTGTCTGATTTTGTAAAATGTAATGCGTAACATGAATTATTGTATTTTTTCCTTGTTTGTCCACAGGAAAAAAGTCCACATTTCCCTGCTATACTTGGCGTGATGGTCCAACAGCAGTTTGAAACGGCTGTGCTGGAGGTGCAAAAATATGTGTAGGAGGGAGAGCTTATCATAGGGCCAGCTGCTCCCTCCTTTGTCAGGTTCATCCTGACACACACGAGTACACACACATACACAGAAAAGAAAATGGGCCAAAAAGAAAACCATTTATAGAAAGCTGACCATAAAATTAAAAATAAAAACAGAGAAGACTGTACAAAGAAACTATTTCCCTGCTGACAATGTTTATGGGCTGTCCATTCTACAGGCTGTTAAATATCTTGACTCTATTTTATGACCTGGAAAGAGAATTCTAGTGGCATCTAGGCAAATGGTGAAAGGACTCAAAGAGAATGCACCCAAAATATTATTGAACAAATAGGGCAGGAAATGACTTCCCTTATTTAAGAATGACTAAACAGAAAAATGAAAAGGAAAAAAAAAAAAAAAGCATGGTCAAATCAAAGATTATTTAAAACAAAAATGAAAGGAAACACTTTGCTACAAAATGGCATTGAAGTAGGAAAGAAAAGGACTAACAGTGCAGGAAATATAAGGATTTTGGTTTTTAGGTTGCTTCTGTATGTACAGACTTACAAATAGGTTACAGCTCAAAACTTAATTTTGCAGTTAGTTTTCTCATGGTAATATTGTTATAAATCATGGTTAGATTCCCTAGCTATCCCTCCAAAGTCTGTTTAACTAGTAAGTATATATTGGTTATATAATTATAATATATACCGTTATAAGCAACTAAACAGAAAAGCACTGAAAATCATTAAAACCAATCTTGACTATATTGAATGCTGTTGGTTGTGGGAAATTATGTTTAATTAAAGCTCAGTAAGGGTGTTTTTAGAGATATCATATAAGATTTTAGAAAATGATGGTACTGGTTTCCCCATGATAAAATGAAATTTAAAATATATGTTCTATTGTTTACCTGACAGAAGTATATTATTACCATCAGCTTTGTTCTGATTAGCCTGACATGATTCTAGCGAGGACAGCGGTTTACAACAGTAATGAAGTAATGGAGGGCTAAAGAGTGATATAAAGATAGTCTCACGAAGTAACCAGGCACAAGTAAGTAGAAAGCAAGAAACGTAGACAATGTTAAAAGTATTGTGTATACATGAGAAAGACTGCCAGAGAAAGAAATAATGGAGTTCTGCATGATGAAAAAGAAAGAAATCTCACAGTAGGTATATTCCAGAGGAGTAGGGAGCCATCGGAAGAACTATTAGGCCAGAAGAACACTGCACCACTCAAAGGTGGTGACATTAGGCCAGAGCAGGAATCCGTGTATATCTTTGCATATTTGTATATGAGACTGTGTGTTGTTGAGGACGAAGAAAGGGGTAAAAAAGTCAATCCATAAAAGATATTTTATGTATGGATATTTAAACTTCGTTTGTATGCAATGAGGGCATTTGGTGCTCATTTAATTGTTAGCTATTAATATTAACTACTAATACAACAGAAAATACATACAAATATATACAATGGCTTATCAACTATATAGGTACAATGGAACTCCATTACAAGACTCTGAAACATAGGGATTTTTAAAATTGCACTGTCTTCCAGGATGAATAGAGGATATGCCTAAGACCCACTGCTAGGTACTGTCACTACAAAAGAAATGTGACATTGTCCCCTTTCATCAAGTGGCTTGCAATAGGCTTTCAGAATACTAATGACTTCATATTTCTGCAGTGTAATAAATTATTTGTTTTTCGAACAAAATCTGCTTGCTCATGTAAGCAGTGCCCTGCTAACAAACAAGTTTTTTATTTTAAACTCAAAGGGAGAGAAAACATCTTCCTCCTATTTTGAGCTAAAGGCTCTACTAGAATACCTGGCAGGTGCTGAGATTTGTCATGGCTATTCTATTACATTCCTAAGTTCTATCATCATCACTGCTTCCTTCCTGGGGAAGATTGTATAAGTCATGTTAGACACTCACCACAGACTGACCCTCGCACTAGTCTCCTTAGATGAGGTCTCTCTGGGAGGTAGCGGTATTTGCATCCAAATATACTGAGGTTTGATGTGTGGTCTCCAAAGAAACGGAGCTGGCGGTATCTCTCCCCACATCGATAACAAAAATTAGTGTTACATTGTGAACAGGTCATATGGTCACACCCTTCCGTTCTCTGGATATGAATCTGTACCAGTGAAAGAGGGAAAGAAAAAAAAGGTTACTAAATTTTTTATAAAGTAGAATCTGGCAAATGTATGGAATAACAGTTACTAGTTTCACCAAAATAAAAGCCTTACAAAGCATTCCTGAGGCTGTAAGTTTGCTTATTATCACACTCTCCCAGGCCACCTTTGTATCAAACACTTTAAACATGTGTAAAGCTCAATAACATTTCAGGTGCTCAAGCTGTTGGCTTATTTTGAATAATACAGACATAAACAAACACATCCCAAAGAAAACTCACTTATCTTTCCAGACATGCATCGAACTCAATGATTAGGAGGCAATTTAAAATGCTGTGAAGGTGAGAAATGCAAATCAAAACTACAAGGAGCTTATCACCTCACACCGGTTAGAATGGGCATCATCAGAAAATCTACAAACAACAAATTCTGGAGAGGGTGTGGAGAAAAGGGAACCCTCCTGCACTGTTGGTGGGAATGTAAATTGATACAACCACTATGGAGAACAGTATGGAGGTTCCTTAAAAAACTAAAATTAGAATTACCATATGACCCAGCAATCCCACTACTGGGCATATACCCAGAGAAGACCATAATTCAAAAAGACACATGCACCCCAATGTTCATTGCAGCACTATTTACAATAGCCAGGTCACGGAAGCAACCTAAATGCACATTGACAGATGAATGGATAAAGAAGTTGTGGTACATATACAAAATGGAATATTACTCAGCCATAAAAAAGGAACGAAATTGGGTCATTTGTAGAGACGTGGATGGACTTAAAGACTGTCACACAGAGTGAAGTAAGTCAGAAAGAGAAAAACAAATATCATATATTAATGCATATATGTGGAATCTAGAAAAATGGTACAGGTGAACCAGTTTGCAAGGCAGAAATAGAGACACAGATGTAGAGAACAAACGTATGGACACCAAGGGGGGAAAGCCGGCGGGGGGGCGGGGGGGGGGGGGGGGGTTGTTGGTGGTGGTCGCATGAATTGGGAGATTGGGATGGACATATATACACTAATATGTATAAGATAGATAACTAATAAGAACCTGCTGTATAAAAAAATAAATAAAATTCAAATAAAAAAAAGTGCTGTGAAGGTATGTTTTGTTGATGCTATGATCAGCAAGAATGAGGTGGCTTGGGGAATAAGAAGAGATGAAGAGGATTCCTTAAAAGAAAGGATTATGTAAAATTTTTGTAAATAAATGTCAAGGAAAAGAAATCCTGTTGTGGAAGGAAATGATAGCAGGTGTAAGTGTATTTGCAGTACCATTTTAGTTTCCAGCTCTAATTTCATTTGCAAATGCTTGTACAGGACTGTGTATACAATGCTACCTGTGCAACTAAGCACCTCCCTCTGTTGTTGCTGTCAAGTTACAGGTAAGTACAGAGGTTACTTCTTATCTCCCAAGCTACAATTTAGATGATATTACTTACATGAGAATAAAAATGTGATAATATACATACAGTGACTAAAACATTTGGGGGCACATATTGAGTCAGATCAGTATAATATTGGTTCCATCTATCCCTTCCCCTTCACCCACCTAAAAATGTGAGAAACTAAATACCAGGGCAATGCAACTGACACTCCCTGATTGCCAGGGGATCTCCTTTCTCACTTTGTCAATTGGGTGATTCTTAGGCTGATGCTAGACTACAGTACCTTCCTGGATAGGTGAGGGCTAGCTTGTGGTTAAGGGCATATAAGCATCTGTGGTCAAGGGTAACTACCAATCAATATTTGGTCAGTAGAAGCAAAATTTGCTTTTTCTGCTATTGGCCACCTCATCTTTTTCAATTACGTTGAATTCTTTTTCTTTTACCTGACAGTCCAGTGAGAGTCGACCCAGGTTTTGTTGGGCCTGAAGGTTATCTAATTGGGGGGCCCTCTTAAAGGAGAAGCATGTAAATTACAAATGAAAATTAGATACAAGGCCTAAGGAGAACTGAGCAGGTGAGGGTCTCTGCAGCTTGAGCTCTTTAGCTTCCTGGTAATTTCTCCCTTAGTCTCCCCATTGCACCTGTTTCTATGAATGATTCTGAAGAACAATTCCTATGACCACATCCATTTAGCACAGCAGATGGCATTAAGGAATGAGGTAGGCTAAGGCCCTACTGAACCTTTGAACTATTTCTCATCCTTTAAACTACCTGAGCACTAGGAGAAAACGTGTTCAGAGACAGCAGCTGAGCACCCAAAATAAAGGTTACCTAATCATATGCTCAACTTTTTGACTGTATACTGTAATTGCTCTTAATATGGAGGTAATTAAAGCTTAACAGATTTCCTGGCCACATAGCATAGTGTTGTATGTGACCTGTAAAGGGAAAAGGACTAATATTTGTTTAGAGCCTACTAAATGCCAAGCACTGTACCTAGCTTAGCGCCTTTAAGCCTCATGACCACACCATGAGACTGGCATGCTTATTCATAACCAGAGCTCAGAAAAGTAATCTGCTTGAATGAATGGAGAAAGTATTTTGATTCTTATCTCTTTCTTTATTATGCTAAGCAGCCTCTTATTATAAACTTAAAGGTAAAACCAGAGGGTCAATTGTATTCTTTGCTAACTGACAGAGTAGTCATGTCTGCCCTCCTGTACAAGGCATGTTCGAGTCTTTCTGCTTGTTTTAGTCGCTCTCTGGGCCAGTTCACATTCTTCCTTTAAAATAATGTCAAAAATTTTTCTGACAAGAAACTTGCTTTAATAAGTTAAACTTGTCACTGACAGTTCATTTGCCTCAAAATTTCACATATCATTTTTACTATCATTTTATATCTGCTTGTAATATTGTTTCATTGTGTTCTAAAATCTTTATGTGGTATACTTATTATTTCATTTAAATAGTGAAGACTGCAATTTTTAGCCTCTTTTAACAGTCTTTCCTCATTTCTAAAATAATATTTGAAACACAGCAGGCAACTAAAATACTGTTAGTCCAAAAATATTTCTGCACAGGAAGTGATAAAATTCTAAGTTCTGACAATACTCTACAAGAACCTTGTACGTTGCAGGATTATATAGTTCTATAGATTAATTTGAATATTTTACTCATAATGGCGATGATTTAATCATGAAAATGGTTTCATAATTTCCAACTATCAAGTACACAGTGCTTCCTTTAATACTATTGCAAATATATATTGATTATATACGAATATTTTATAACTTCATGCTAAAAGAGAAATGAACTGACATAATGCAAGTTAACTTGTAACAGAAGACATTACTTTTCACATTTGCTAAGAAGCAAGTTGTAATTTTGAACCCCTAACACCCAGAGGCTAATAAATTTCATAAGATAAACGACCTTCCTGAATATACCTTTAAAGGTCACACTTTGACAATGCCATTTTTGTTTTTAAAACATAGAGCCTTAAAAAGTAGGTTTAAATTACATTTATGTGAAGTCCATCTTATTTCTCAGTGAAGCTTTAAAAGTTTTTTTTATTATAGCTTCAAAACATTCATCAGTTTAGCTCTGCTAAAAAACATACCAATCACCCAAGTGGCTGTAATTCAGCATCAAAATTCTGTTCTTGGGCTTCCCTGGTGGTGCAGTGGTTGAGAGTCCGCCTGCCTATGCAGGGGACGCTGGTTCATGCCCCAGTCCGGGAAGATCCCACATGCCGCAGAGCAGCTGCGCCCGTGAGCCATGGCCTTTGAGCCTGCGCGCCCGGAGCCTGTGCTCCGCAACGGGAGAGGCCACAACAGTGAGAGGCCCGCATGCCGCAACAACAACAACAAATTCTGTTCTCACTTAAGGGATGGAGACAGAGTAAGACAGATGAGATATTTCTAACCCATTAGATAAAACTGACTACACATAAGCCACAAACATCATTTGATTTGTTATCACTAACAGGGTTTCTTCTCTCCATCTATACCAAATAAGGATGGCTGACACGTAAGGAGTTGAATATTTAAGCACTAAATGTTGCTTATACAGCTCTACATTTACAAGCCATGAGATAAAATGTTCAGGATATGCCAGATATTTCTTTAATATGAGTTTGATATTAAGTCCACATAGTAGTAGACAGAAATGACACCACGGATCATTTTTGAGCCTATGACATTCTTTATATTACATATCAACACCTGTAATAAGAGAGTAATCAATATATGTACCTGCCCTCTTCAAGTTGTTAACATTTAGTTTAATAAAATGCCCACAAATTATCTTAAAAAATAGAACTAGACCATTTAGGGGGAAGAGTAAGACACGGAGATCACCTTCCTCCCCACAGATATACCAGAAATACATCTACACGTGGAACAACTCCTACAGAACACCTACTGAACGCTGGCAGAAGACCTCAGACCTCCCAAAAGGCAAGAAACACCCCACGTACCTGGGTAGGGCAAAAGAAAAAAGAATAAACAAAGGCAAAAGAATAGGGACGGGACCTGCACCAGTGGGAGGGAGCCGTGAAGGAGGAAAGGTTTCCACACACTAGGAAGCCCCTTCGCGGGCGAAGGCTGCGGGTGGCGGAGGGGGAAAGCTTCGGTGCCGCGGAGAAGAGCACGGCAACAGGGGCGCGGGGGGCAAAGCGGAGAGATTCCCGCACAGAGGATCGGCGCCGACCGGCGCTCACCAGCCCGAGAGGCTTGTCTGCTCACCGGCCCGGGGCGGGCGGGGCTGGGAGCTGAGGCTCGGGCTTCGGTTGGAGTGCACGGAGAGGACTGGGGTTGGCAGCGTGAACACAGCCTGCAGGGGGTTAGTGCGCCACGGCTAGCCGGGAGGGAGTCCGGGGAAAAGTCTGGACCTGCCGAAGAGGCAAGAGACTTTTTCTTGCCTCTGTGTTTCCTGGTGCGCGAGGAGAGGGGTTTTAAGAGCGCTGCTTAAAGGAGCTGCAGAGACGGGCGCGAGCCGCGGCTAAAAGCGCGGACCCCAGAGACGGGCCTGAGACGCTAAGCTGCTGCTGCCGCCACCAAGAAGCCTGTGTGCGAGCACAGGTCACTCTCCACACACCCCTTC